GGTTCTGGCGACTTCTCGCGGCAGCAACGGATTTCATCTGAACAGAAAAAAAGGGGGGAAAAAATGTGAGCTAAAATATAGGTTCCAGAATCGGTGGTTTCATTTTAAGTCCAATAAGCCTTACCATGGTTGAGAAGTGAGTTCCCTTGGGAGCAGAAATTCGTGGAAGGTGCAATCAATAGATACACCCATTTTTTCTACTTCAGATCAGTTGAACAAGCCATTGTTATATACCTGGTTGAATTTGAACATTCCATAGAACACCAGATAAGACACCTGAAAACCACAAATTTCTGTTAATTGAAAGTCCAACACTGTAAATACTTTAGCTCACATGACACAATACTCCAAAGCTCAATTGTAAAATAACTTGCTTTAAATTTGAAGTTTAAGTTCAAAGGAGGAACAAACTTCACGCTAACTGCCCCTTGGGTATGTGAATGGTGGATTGGCACAAGAGTTCCAACCAAACAAATGATCTTGCAAACATTTGAAGTTCCTCCATAAGTGGAGGAAAAAACAAATGGACCAGCTTTTTTCAATTAAAATAATAGGAAGTAGCACTTCACAGAACCTGACCATTGTAAATTTAAAAAAAATTAACTTATGAATTGACATAACAAAAATTGATGGGTACTATTCCATAAATGAAGATTACCTATGAATCACGATTGAGATACCAGTGAGCATGTTCGACCAGGTACTGTCTGTTGGCATCAGCTTGTCGGCGCAGTTCAGCAGGTAACATCCTCAACTCATCTGGATCCACAAAATAATTTTCGTGGGCATCCATAAATAATTCATGATCAACTGGTATGGGCACGCGTTCCTCCAGCAAGATGTTGTGCAACACAGCACAGGCATTGATGATTTTGCCAGCCTTCCCTGGCACATAGTGGATTGGAAGGGTCATGCATCTCCATCTCGCCTTCAAAACACCAATGCACCTCTCCACTGGGTTGCGGCACTGGGCATGTAGCTTGTTGTAGCTCGATGCAGGAGTGCCATGTGGGGCAATTTCCAAGGGTGTCATAAGCCATGGGAGGTAAGCATAGCCAGAGTCACCTAACGAGAAAACTATCAGAAATAATGTGGCCAAGATAACAAAGATTTGAAACTGAAAATTACCTAGAAGCCAGCAATGATCTTCCCTGTGGGCCACTTCCATGACTGGGCCATCTCTTTTCAAATGAATACATCAGGTGGATCACAACTAACCACACATACCTTTCAATGTATGCAACGCGTTCTGCATGAGACACGGGAAACCGTACGAATCTAGCCAGCACAGCACGCTGATTTAACGCATCAACCACTTCTTTGATAAAACCACTAATGGTGCTCTGCCCCAAGGGATGATTGGCACTTGTCCCAAGATGCCTCTGATAGCTCCCAGAGCTCAGGTAGAAGAGAGTAGTGAGAACCTAACAACCAAAGTACAAATTAACATTAAAGCTGGGTACATATGGAGCAAATTACTCCAAAGATGACACGTTCAAATCAAGAGAGGAAACTTACTTTCATGTAGAATGGGAGAGCCCGGCGCGAGGTGGTTTGGATCTTGAAGGGTTCCAGGACCTCCACTAACCTCATGAAGACACAAAAGCCTCGACCGTCACATCCAAGGGATCTGAGGCGTCCCGGAGACGAAACCGCCACTGAAGCCGATTACCAACGTGGTGCTGATGCTCCGCAATTGGGTCTGGCTCACGCCCAGCAAAGTAATGATACGCTGTAAAATTAGGTTATGTGTTACAGCAATGTATCAAAGAAATCTAGTAAATTAAACAGAAAGAGCAGGAAAGACCAACGCCAAAAAGCACAGACTTACCCATCACGAGGACGAACTTGCACCCAACAACGTGGAGAGAAAAGTTAAGCGAACAAAACGCGGAACAGCGGCAGTGAGAAACGCGACACGACAGAAACGACTCAAGAACTAGAAACCTAGATAGAATTACAATACGAGAAAAATGGCGACTCGACAACACAACTCAAAAAAACAATCACGAAGCAAAAGGGACAATTCAACAGAAGCTAGCCGGAGCACAAACAACGGAGAAAAGGGCCCAAATGTATGAAATAGCTCTCGATTACGGCTCGGTTTGTTTTCCTTGACTGAGCGAAACTTTGCCGGGAGCAAGGTGGGGGAAGTAGAAATTTGGCAACACAGGAACGGCAGGAAAACAGCGGAACGACGCACCGTCTAAACCGTCTAGACGAGGCGCCGAAGCCCTAGCTAAAACGGAATGTGATCGACCTGCAGGCTTCACTATGCTCAAGTTTATAATAGTTTTATTCTTGTGTTTATAAATAATTGTTTAATCTTTGACACTTTACTAATAATAATCATTTGTTCTCTATTCCTGTAATTGCTTTTGAAGTGTTTGTTGCACAAGCTGTATTATGCTCCAGTCTGAAATAGTTTTATTTTAGTGTTTGGAAGTAATTCTTAAATCTTTGACACTCTACCATCTGCCTGTAGAGTAAATTTCTGTGTTTTCTGGCCACATTTTTTAAAAGAATGTGATTGTGGCTTATTCACTACTTGTGAAGAGCATTAGAAAACATTTTACCAAACATTTCATCCAATGTTCGTAAAGTAATGCATCATGTACTATTTATTTTGACCTGTTTTAAAACATTAAGAATATCTAGACAATTGCAATGTTTTACAGTATTACTGTTCTTTGATATTTCAATCAAACATTTCTTAGAGTGATTTGTCCTGTTTGAGTCTCTCATTTTTAATCATATTTCCTGTATTTGTACGTGCAGTTTCGAAGTTCTGAACTGTGAATTATGTGTTTCTTACATTTTAGGAGTATTTTTTTACATTGTGTTGGCAATCACTTTACGTAATTTTAACAATGTAAGTTTACTATCTGTTTCAAGCGATAAACATCAGTTCACCAAACATCAAATTTGCTTATTTATGACAATTACTGTTAGATCATACTTATTCAGGACCTGACCAAGCCTATAATGCCTCATCATAGTGAATGGAACTTTTGGTGTATAAGTAATAGACTAATGCGCAAATAATTTTTTTCATGCTTTATTAACAAACAAAGAATTCTGAGCAACTCTGTGTCTTCAATTGGAAACATAAATTTTTGGAAACAAGGAATCACATATGCTAGGCAGCTTGTCAACACACACATAAGCTCTTCATACATAGAAGCATGACAACGGGAAATTATTTTGCAACCATACAAAGTTCCAGCCATTTGGACCAAACAGCCTAAAACTTTACAAATTCCAAAAGTCTATATTAAGGTGTTATTTTATCAAATCGAAGATATTAATCCTTTTCACACTGCAGTGAATACGTCACCTGAGCAGCTGTGGCCACTGAATGAGAAGTATGCAATGACCGTCCAGTTGCAGATCTGACATTTCGCTTGTCCCTATTGCAAAGCACGCACGGCGCTCCGGCGCTGGCGAAACCACGCAACTCCGCGGAGCCTCCGCGAAAGCACGCACAGCGGTCCGACGCTGGCGAAACCACGCAACTCGATTTTTGGGGTGATTTTTGAGACCTATGGAGGACCTGCGCGTAAAGAAGAACAGAAGGAAGATGGCCGCCGCAGCGGGTGGTGGGGGTAGGAACATAACAAAACCTCATTTGTTTAGCAGTCGACGCGTTCAGAAACTGACGCTATTTGGGTGGACCCTTGTCTCTAAATTATCACAAAATTAATATTTGACACGTAAACAACATTTTTTATAAAATTTACAATATGTTTGGTGCTATAATACGTCCACACTTCGAAATAGCACCACGGCACTTCTGCTAAACAAATGAGGTTTTGTTATGTTCCTACCCCCACCACCAGCCGCGGCGGCCATCTTCCTTCTGTTCTTCTTTACGCGCAGGTCCTCCATACCGTTGGAAAGAGGACGTTTCCCTCTTCCAGAATATATAGTTATCTCAAATTTTTTTGAAAAACATCGATACGTGGTTTCGCCAGCGCCTAAAAACTTTGCGTGGTTTCGCCAGCGCCGGACCGCTGTGCGTGCTTTGACGGAGGCTCCGTGGAGTTGCGTGCTTTGCTATAGGGACAAGCGACTTGTGGCCAGGAGCATGCTATTTCACAGCATTCCACGTTCCTGAAGCAGATTCAATTAATACACATTAAAACAAAAATATGATGACAAATAGTGTACATACAGAGCTTTGAGCGCCATCTTACCTTGGTGTCTCCAAAAATTAGTGCTTTTCTTCTGGAAAAAAGGAAGAGAATGAGCATGCACTAAACCTCAAGTTGCAGAAGTGAAACTGGTGACAAGGAGCAGGGCTGTCTGCAGCATTGTTCTTGTCTGAAGTGGGTGGCATAATTGCACATTTAAATTCATCAGCATACGCATGAAACGTTTACAGTTTTAAGCCCTAGCTTATGTTTCTGCTCTGCATTTAAGTCATTTTGAGAAATCATTGTATTTTGCTGGTGCGCGCCGGGAGATGGGACTCAAACCCACCAGTACAGCCACCCCACGGATAACAATGAGCATCGCCGTAGGAATCGCAATGAAAGGCGTAATCTTTGGTGGAGTTCGTCGCTTCACAAGCTAATAAACTTTTCAGCCTGCCGTTTTTACTCCGGCCTTCAAATAAATCAAAAATATACATATATAAAAATACAACAGTTGGCAGGCACGAAACCCTTTCCTTTTCACCCCTTGCACATTGACGTCCGTTTCCTGCTGCAGCCAAGCCACCATTCATTTTGCGTTTTGTTCCCATTGCGAGTGCGAGCCGCTGGTATTGATCAGGTAAAGTTTATGTGTGCTGACTTCTGAGTTTAATCTGTTCTGCAGCATTCAATCATTTACCGTAATTCCTTAATCGCAAGTAAAAAAATTCCATTATTGTGTTCTGTAGTTGCGTCTGGATTACGTTTGATTGCTCAGCATATGCACTCGCCCTCGCCTCGTGGTCCT